AACTCCTTTCAAGAAAGTTTTTTAGTAGCTTTATCATTTGCATGACTATACTTCTGGAATCCCCTCCTTTCGTCACCCCTTAATATTATTTCCTATATAAGAAGCATCCTAATCCTTAAAATGAAACTACTCTAGCCTTCACTTGAACCTCATGTACAATCAAAAAAAAATGTCTTTAAGAAATCCAATTGCATTTCACAACTATTCGCCTAAGCAAACTTTACTTGCCGGTGGTGTTGGATTTGGTATTTATGCAGCTTTAATGTTCAGGTATTATTCACAACGGTCTAGAGTCAGGAAGATCTTTGAAGAGAGTGACAAGAACTACGAAAATGTGCACTTGATGTCGTTGCCTCAATACAGTGGAAACAAAATCGATAAAGCTTGAGTATCGCTGTATATTCGATACACATCTACTCTTATTATTATTATTATTCATCCTCCTCCTCCTCCTCTCCTTCTCCAGGCTTAACCTCATCTAAGCTAGTCAACAAGCTGTCCAATTTCTTTGCACCAACTTCAAAATACTCCTTCTGGGCCTTGACAAAAATCTTCAATAAATCGATGTTCTTCGAAGGCTTTAAAAGCTTTTTCATTTCGACAACTGCCAACTCAGTAGCACTAACTAGCTCATCTTCTTTTGAAATCAACTCTTCATTCTCTGGGTCACTCGATTCAAACTTGCTTCTCAATTGATCAAATTGAGATCTAGTAAAGTACACCTTCTTTCTCAACTCGTTAACCTTGATGAATTGTGCATTCAATATTTCAACCAATTCATGATTCAAGTTGAGAATGGTCTTGTCCTGGTCCAATCTTGCTAAACCAATTTCATGATAAGTTGATGAGATTTTCAACAAAACAAACGCGAGCGAGCTCAGGTTGGAGTTCTTTTGCAATTCTTCTGAATGTTTGGCCGTCAATGCACTCAAATGACCGTACAACGTCTTTGGTAGATCAGGTGAAGTAGGTTGAATGGATACGCCTTTGTCGGAACTCTGTGCTTCAGTGTTGGATTCATCAGCTTCGCCCAACAAGATTTTTTCCAACTCCTGAGGGGAAGAGACATTCTTTAACTGGTTAAACTTGTTTCCAATTATATTTCCTACATGCGCATCTCTAATCTTGTTGATTGTATAGTTCCCTGGTGGGTAATCATAACTAACTTGTCCATAAGTTTCGTTGTTTGATTGAATCAAGTCTGAATACAATTTCAACAATAAATCGCAACCAATCTCCAATTGCAAGTAATCTTGAGGTAATTCGCTTACTTCGACGTTGGAAGTGGTGGACGCTAAAGCTTGGACTTGCAGCAACTGTTCGTTGATCAATTGTTGAGTCTTTGACGCGAATGGTTGAATCGAATCTCTAAATTGTTCCACGGTTTTCGAGGGATTCACCTTGGAAAGGCTTTCACGGAATTGTTCAACTGTTGGTAATGATTCCTGAATGGATTTCAAATCGAATGAAGGAAATTTAAAGGACATATTGATAGCGGGTTATATCTAATGGACGGAGTAAGGCTGTGATAAAGAAAGACAGGAAAAAAATAATAATAATAATAATAAAATAAAATGACAACAATAGGGCATAAACGAGGAGTTAAAATGTCCACTATTGAGATGAGAATTATGAGATGGCTATACACTAAAATAAATGGCTCAGAAAGTACCTCATCTACTCTTTTAAATCTGGCAACGTTAGCAAATTCAGTCAAAAGTTCTCTCTCTCTCTCTCTCTCTCTCTCTCTTCGTCAAACACAGCTTGATGGTGGTGAAAGTCACCATCATATTCCTCATTATCACTGCTACCAATTTATTCTCGAAATAGTTTTGATGAACTACGTCATCCCGCCATGGCTGCTGACGAGTCGAAAGTGTACTACAAAAAGCAAGCTAAGTACCATGATAAACGAAACATTCTCAACAAGTCATACTTGGTCGAGCCAATCATACGTCATCGAATACACGATTCCAAATTTTACAAACAACACCTTTATTTGGCAAATGAATCCACGATACTCCCAATAATAACCAAGCATGTACACTACATATCGGGTGTTGACTCCATGGGAAGGCCCAGTCCATTTTTGCAATGTCTTTTGCGCATGTTGGAGTTGGAGCCTTCTAAAGAAATTATCAAAGTGTACCTGGATCAATTATCGTACAATGAATTCAAATACTTGACAGCATTGACTCTACTATATATACGATTGGTTTACACGAGTGAGGAGATCTACAACATCTTTGACCAACATGCTCAAGACTACCGCAAGTTGAGAATCAAGTTGAAAACTCCTCAATTCGATTCGATGCAGCAACCGATACACTACAAACTT